ATGCTGGCAAGAATGAAAGAGATCATTGGCCAAAGTCAGTTCGATGAAGGACTGTTTAGAGAACTATTTTTATCCAAACTGCCACAGTCAGTTCAGACTGTACTTGTGACACTTCAGGGTGTTCTCATAGATGATTTAGCTGTCTCTGCAGATAGAATTCTAGAGATAACGAAACGGCCAGTTACTGAAGTATGCTCTGTTACCGAACAGACTTCAAGAAAGGATTCTGCAATGATAGAGTTATGCAACTCCGTCCAGCAGATGCTTAGGTCAAACAAGCCTAGCAATTCCTCCTATCGTCGTTCTAAATCCCCTCAACGGCAAAGTGCACGTGGACGATCTAAGTCCAACACACGCTCTCTCAAAAATCCTGACTGGTGTTGGTATCACAACACCTATGGCAAGGAAGCGAAATGTTGTCGAAAACCTTGTGATTTCGGCAAAGCCTCCAAGTCTGTGGGAAACTATCCCGCCGGCACGCGTTAGCGGCAACCGTCGCCGGTGGCACTAGCCGCTTACTTTACATCCATGATGTAATTAGCCAGACTAGATATCTAGTCGACACAGGCGCCGAAGTCAGCGTCCTTCCTGCTACAGCAGCAGATCGACAGAAGGATCCTAACCTCAACCTACAGGCTGCAAATGGAAAACCAATTGCAACCTATGGTCGGAAATACGTCTATCTGAAAGTAGGTTTACGCAAACCTATTCGGTGGATTTTTCTGATCGCTGACGTCACAATGCCCATCATCGGCACGGACCTACTTAATCATCATGATTTGCTCGTAGACGTCCGCCGTAAACGATTAATTGACAACACTACTAGTTTGTCTATCAAAGGCATAACTTACGTAGGCCCAAGCTTGTCAATCGTTAAGATGAAAGCAATCCCCGATCCAACTTTCCAACCGATTGTTGACAAATATCCGGAACTGAATTGCCCATCTAACGATCTCCCGTGTATAACCAGCAATGTTATGCACCACATCATAACCTCAGGACAGCCCGTGACATCTAAAGCACGACGACTGGCCCCTGACAAACTGAGAATTGCCAGAAACGAATTCGATCATATGCTCACCCTTGGCATCATTCGGCCATCGAATAGTCCATGGGCATCCCCATTGCATATGGTTCCAAAAAAAGATAGTAACGATTGGCGACCCACTGGTGATTACCGGCGAGTCAACGCCAAAACTACCCCCGATTGCTACCCATTGCCTCACATACACGACTTGACGGCAACGTTATCTGGAGCATCTATATTCTCCAAAATCGACTTGGTTAAAGCATATAACCAAATCCCGATGGCAACGGAAGATATTCCGAAAACGGCTATCATCACGCCCTTCGGACTTTTTGAATTCCTACGTATGCCATTCGGTCTCCGGAATGCGGCCCAAACATTCCAACGCTTCATCAACGAAGTATTTCGCGGTCTCGACTTTGTATACGCATACTTAGACGACTGCCTCATTGCCAGTCCAGATAAGGAAACTCACCTTAGACACTTGGACTTGGCATTTGAAAGGTTACGCCAACATGGTGTTACCATCAATATACAGAAGTGTCAGATAGGCGTTGGCTCACTCGATTTTCTGGGTCACACTATTGACTGCCAGGGTATTCGCCCACTGGCTACCAAAGTCGAAGCAATACTGAACTTTCCGGAGCCAAAGACAGTAAAATGCCTTCGCACTTTTAACGGCTTGGTAAGTTATTACCGACGTTTTATTCCTAATTGTGCTTCTCTAATTCAGCCATTAACCGATCTCCTTCGAGGGAACAACAAGGCTATCGAACTCGACACGTCTGCTCGACATGCTTTTACTCAGGTAAAGAAAGCTATTGCAGATGCCACCCTTCTTATGTATCAAGATCCAACGGCACCGTTGAGTATCTCGGTTGATGCATCAGACACTGCAATCGGCGCAGTTCTGCAACAACTAGTTAACAACGAATGGCAACCACTCGCCTTTTTCTCGAGGCGCCTTCAAGTAGCTGAAACGAAGTACAGCACATTCGGAAGGGAACTTCTAGCTATGTACTGTGCTATACGTCATTTTCGACATTCAGTTGAGGGTCGTGAATTCACCATTTTCACTGACCACAAACCTCTGACGTACTCTCTGAACTCAACTTCAGATAAGTATTCACCCAGGGAATCGCGACAACTAGATTATGTTTCACAGTTTTCATCAGATATTCGCCATGTTTCCGGAGTGAACAACACTGTGGCAGATGCCTTGTCACGTATTTGTTCTTTCACCCAAATCGATGGCATAGACCTTGTAAAACTGGCTCGTCTTCAAAAAGAAGATATTGAGCTTCAGCGTGAGTTGTTGAAAACAACTCTACAACTAACCAAGAAACCCTTAGGTATAGGAAAGGATACTATTCTGTGTGACATTTCCACTAGTACTCCTCGCCCCATCGTGCCTAAAAGTTATCGCCGTAACGTCTTCAATACGTTGCATGGCTTATCCCATCCAGGTATTCGAACTACTGTCAAACTCGTAACTAGTAGGTTTTGCTGGCCTGGTATTAACAAGGAAGTAAGGGAATGGGCACAGACGTGCTTAGCTTGCCAAAAGTGCAAGGTAATAAGACACACTAAAAGCCCCCTTGGCACTTTTCTTATCCCTGATGCCCGTTTCGAACACGTCCATGTAGATTTAGTTGGCCCCCTTCCAGAATCTCATGGATACACCTATATGTTAACCTGCATCGATCGCTTCACACGATGGCCTGAAGCAGTACCCATCAAGGATATATCTGCTGAAACTGTCGCACGCGTCTTTGTAGAAAGATGGATCGCAAACTTTGGATGCCCATCTTCCATAACAACTGATCGTGGGCGGCAATTCGAAAGCGGTTTATTCTTCGCTTTGACTAAAATTCTTGGTTGCATGCGTTTTCGAACGACAGCCTACCATCCTCAAGCGAATGGTATGGTAGAACGTCTACACAGACAGTTGAAAGCTGGTTTATCAGCTGCAAATAACACCCACTGGACTGAATCCCTTCCGTTAGTTCTCCTAGGGATACGAAACGCCTTGAAAACCGATGCTGGTTGTACTACCTCTGAGCTAGTATATGGCACAACACTACGACTGCCAGGTGAGTTTGTTTCTCCCTCGAGCTTCCCACCAGTGGTAGATCACTCCTCATACGTCACCAGGCTTACAAACGCTATGCGTTCAGTTAAACCTGCTCCCCTCCGACCACAGTCCATTGATGTTTTCGTTCACCCTTGTTTAAAAACTTCTTCACATGTATTTGTTCGTCGCGACTCGGTACGTCGTCCTCTAGAACCCCCGTATGACGGACCATATAAAGTGATTAAACGTATGGATAAATTCTTCGTTTTAGACAAAAAAGGCCGCGAAGACACCGTCAGTATCGACCGTCTGAAACCAGCTTACTTGGAAGGTAACCCCATTAGCCTGGAGCTAAACGTACCCGATAATTCACAAGTTATTGAATCTACTTCAGTCTTCGAAGAACTCCCTAGCACGGCGAAAGCCACCGAAACTTCGGTCGATAACTCTAAGAAAACGCGTTCTGGACGTCACGTTAGATTTCCAGAATACCTTCACACCTATCTCACATAACTGAGTGACACATCAATTTTTTTTATGTTGCGTCATTTAACACAAGTAAATGATATTTCTCCTATAACCGTACATAAAATTAAATTAGAGGTATATTTTTTCCCGATATTTTGAACTTTACATTATATTACTGTATAGTAGATGCATGTCATTTTTTTTGGTAAAAAAAAACGCTTATTTGGTACATTTTTCTTGACAAGGTTCTCAGCATTCTTGTTTTCTTTTCCAGGTGCAACGGGCACTGGACAGGAAACAAACGAAGCACGGGATCCAACGAACAACACTGAGGAAGCTATGTACAGACACCCTATTAGCATAGGCAGACAGACCAGCAGGCTCTCCATCAAGCCGCTTGGAAGATTTTTTTTCACCCATCAGGGAACCATCGAGATTTTTTTACTTCCGGCTGGTCATGTCTTAGGGTCCTCACAACCCCACTAGGGGGGGAGTGAGCTGTAGCGGTAAATAATTCCCCAAAATTATTAACCACAGCAATCATCACTCAACATTGGATGCTGACCATCACTGTTTAAGTCGACTTGTTTAGCTGAAGGCTTACGGTCAAGCATCCCCGCCATTTGGTGCTCCGTCGTGTCACGTGCGTGCACGATTACTAGCTAGCTAAGCATTCATTCCTACCCGCGATTTGGTCCCAAAATATATATCGTATTTGGACGACAAAATCTGGTCTTTTGCTTTACCATTTGGTACTCGAAGAACGAACACTATAGTGGTTGTTGGTATAAGATCTTGCGTTAGTATAATCCGTACAACTCGCGAACGTCGATACATACAGCCCCCTAAAGTACCATGGGCCCAAAACTATAGTTCCCAAACGGGCTTTCAAAATATACTTTCTACCATGTTATGCCATTTTTGGCCTAACTGCATTTTTCAGTTGGGCCGCAAATTAAGTGTTACTTCACGTGATCACAATCTTTCGTACACGGAACTCCGAAAACTCGAGAGGTTCGTAGACGCCGTGGATACCAGTACATAATCACCACAGCTGTAGTCTAATACTTTTTTAGAAAATTTAAGATCTGCAGGGCGAACCATACGCTTATAACCTAGTATTTGTCATGTTTCACTGTACAAGTTTTAGAACCATTGCAGAGATTTGACTGAAGTGTGACATATCGATAGCAGTTAACGCTATCTCCACAGCGACTTTTGGAAATCATTTGAGAAACATCACAGAAGCCACCAAATAAGGTCATAACTTGGGTGAACACAAGCAGTAAAGCATCTGAACTCGAAGATCGGTGGTGATATTCTCAGAAGACTTTCTGAAGAAAGCTGGAGACTAACCTGAGATACTAAGACAAAATAGGTCAGCTTCAACTACATGTAACTGTTGAACAAAAGCAAGTACCATTCTGAGACAGTAAGAAGCAATTGGCGAGAAATCGTTACGTCCATTCTAGCTCATTGAGAAGATATTGGATATTGGATATGCGGTATAACTGAACTGTTGCGGTACTTCCTGTTATTTTTTTTAGAAAGATGATAGAAGTAGTGGATCCAAGAGCTTCTCGAATGCTGGTTCTATTCAGTATTCTCATCATTGTCTTACCGTTATCCTCACTTTTTATTTCAAAGTTTGTGTTATCGGGTAAGTTCTAACTCTCCTAACATTGATAAGACTTTTTTCATATGGACGGTTCAGCTTCTTACATCGGAGCTGCAGTGGTTTCGATCGTAGTCGTCCATATTGTGCTGCTTGGCTTTATAGTCGTTGCATTTTCGGAAACAAAGCCTAAAAAAGATACAGTAGCAGGAAAAAAGGAGTGATTGTATGTTTTGTCGGTGCATGCTCAATCCAGTCTATCCACCCCATATTTTTCGCTCCCAAACCGCATCAAACTGTAATTTTTTGCATTTTGTATATTTCATGTAAGCTAGTATACAGGCTCGTCCTGTGTCTAGTCACTTCGTAATTATATTTTTTACCCTACAGACTGTCTTCCCTACATCTTACATTTAGACATCCATGCTTGCGGGAACAAAATCGCCGAAAGTTCGACAAATCCCATGATTATTGTGAATACCGTGCAGGCTATACAGTGTTGGAGTTTCGCGCGTCTGAACGACTCAGGAAAACATCGTTACTTTACTAATAATTCATGATTGGCTCTTAAATAATTTTTCTTATCCTTGCGACTGTTGTCTCGGTGGGTGATAGTTACAGCAGACAATGGAACATTATTGTTAAGAACTGTAACTACTGTTCTCTAACGCCATATCCCTCCTATCTGCCTTCATAAATATGATGTCAATAGCTGTTTTCATTTCTCTGACAAGCCTGTTAAGACAAACTGTATCAACCACCAAATGACCTTGGGTAAACAATCAGGTCACTAGTCATGAATGCAGTTAACTTGTAAAATATTCTAGTAGAACGTCCCGTTGAGTTTAATTCATAAATCTCAAGACAAACACCAAGTTATAAAGTGGTCTGTTAATTGTCACTAGCCTACTTGGTGGTTTGAAGCATGTCTCATAAGATAAATTTTCGTCTTCTGAGATCATGGAGTCCCAACCGGAGTCCTATATCGAATACTGTAGCTTTCGTGCTTTAAAAATGATTTTAAGTTATCCTTTATTTGCTCGTCATGAGATCTCTCCCTCCCTCTCTTAGGGAATTATGGGAAACGAAGACGGCAGTTTTGTTGAGCGCAGGCAGTTGTAGTGGTGAAGGACGCGTTAGAAGTCATTGTTCTTAAGATTATTTAGCAACCGTGGGGTTATGCATACAAACCAGCATTAATATCATGGTTTCTTCATATAACTCCTGGTAGAGTAATCCTGGGGTGTATCAGTGGCAAGTAGGAATTATTTACCGATATGACAGGAGGTAATTGAGTCTTCTCACTTATAGTTTTATTTGATCTCCATGCGCTCGTAGTTTTACATAGAAAACGATGACCTAATTACTAATAACGAAGTTTTCGGCTGTTCTAGTCGCTTAGGGAAGTACAAACTTTTCAGCTGGAGTCCTCAAGACGCTAAGAAGCAATAGCTTCATACATGTTGGCAGCTCAAAGTTGTTTTCAACGTGGCAGATGCATTCACTTTTTATGGACGCTTAGGTCGATCTACTTGTTCTTTCTTCCACATATTTCCGTTTATTATGGTTTCTTTGTGTATGTATGCTTTATAAACTGTGTATTTTGTGGCTAGGCAGTTAGGTAGTGATCAGTGTCACCGTTAGATTTGGGATTCTGTAGCGTTGGCAAGCTCACTTCGTCATATCAGACAGTGTATGCAGATCCACTTGGTCTTGTAAACGAGTGGGATGATATATCAAGTGACTTAGGGAGAGTTGACCATTCTTTCTGCAAATATATTTATAATTGGTATTGACCTGCTTTATACTGATATTATTGCGCGGCATTTTCCTTCTATGAAATTATACATTAATGAAAAACCAAACTAGCCTGAAAGCTGTCGCAAATCGCTACTATACTAATCATATACATTCACTCGTTTGATCCATTATTACCATATTTGTATTTTCCAACAGTGACTGCTATTTAGTTTCACCAACCCTGCTTCCTCTTAACTTTCGTCAGCCTCTCACTATTGTTGAAAATATCGGGATATCTGTACGGTTTCGAGTTTGCTAGTTATTTACTTCCATAAAACTGACCCCCAATACGATATTAAACGCAGCTATTCTAGCATTGGCTGTTGTGTTCAGGCTAGCCACTCATAATGTTTGCACACTTTTTCTACCTTTATGTATGTTTTCATGAAGTGTGGCAAATTGAAATACTGCCTTTCTATTCTACTCTGAAATGGGATGACACGCAAGTCTGGTCAGAACCCTGGAAGTTTTATCGTTGATGTATGCTGCATCTCAGGGACCAGAGAACTGCCTCGAATATTCTTTCTATCTGCAAGGTCGAATACTGCATTTTGTGAGAGTTTATCTAGGGGTCGTGTGCCAGTGGCTTCCGACTTAACTGGTGTTGGTACCTCGCAGAGCTCTGAAGTCAAATTTGCTGTTCTTGGCTGAATTTCCACTAACAGTCCTTTGTGTTGTCAGGCTAGGCTATGTTACATTAAAAAGTGACCGGCCAGAAGAGCGTTTTTTTCTCTGTAAATGCCTGTGCACTTACGAATTACTTTCAGGGTGGAATTAAAGATGGGTCCTACCATTAGCTGAGTGATCTCTACCACACACGTTTGACAGATATTGTAGTGCTAACTGGAGACTTGAATACACAGTTTGGTCATTGGAGTTCTAGTGAGAGTCATTTAAGTAGTCACTGGGGACTAGATTGTTACAGGCCGGTCGGTCGGTCGGTTTTCGACATAGAACTTTGCACATATGTGCGGCAGTTCAAGTCGCCACAATCTATGTAGCACGCAAAGCAAGAGAAGGAAGTAGAAGAAATGCATAATGGAAACAGTAAACAGAGGTGTGAGACAAAGGAATAGTAATAACGGAGAACAAAAGTTTAATTGGAAATCATAAGTCACAAGGAGTGGATGCATCTGCACTAGCCACTGAGAACGATTTTGAGCCATGTCACCAATTGTTTCCAACCATTGGTTTTTACCGTCCCGGGGACCCCAACCAGGAAGTCTACATCTTCCTACGTGGCTTAGATTAACTGTTGTAGATTTCATTGATTGGTGCCATGTTTTCGTTTGACCGCCGCTAGCTCTTTTCCAGCCTGGCCCTGTATCAGCTAACATTGCCCGTCGAGGAAGGCGATGACTAGGCATACGTAGCACATGTCCTAACCATCTCAGTCGAAGTAATTTCATCGTTTCGTCGATTGATTCCCCCGCCTTACCTAGCACTCGACGCCTAACCTCAATATTGCTCACCTTATTATACCACTTCACGCGGGAGATAGAACGCAGGCACCTATGATCGAAGACAGCTAATCTTTTCATGTCTTCTGCTCTCAATGGCCAGGTCTCACAGCCATAAAGGAGGACGGAGCGGACTGTTGAGCAGTACACACGCCCTTTGGTCGATAGTCGGATATCGCGTCTACGCCAGAGACGGCGAAAACTGGCGAATGCGAACCTAGCCCTCTGTATTCGTGCTGAAATTTCGTCTGAGATCAACCCGTTGGGGCTGATGGTACTTCCCAAGTAATTGAAGCGGTCAACGTGTTCTACCACTTCACTTCCTATTTCTAATCTAGGGGTCGATGAGGTCCAATCCTGCAGCATCATCTTACATTTTACAGGGGCGAATCGCATGCCAAACATACGGAGATTGTTGCTCAGGGTGTTCAGTAGACTCTGCATTTCGTCAGAGTCCTCGCCCAGAAGGACTATATCGTCCGCATATTCTAAGTCAACGAGATTATTCCCTGGTAGCAAGTCAATCCCTGAGTCACTGAAGTGTGATAGGGTTAAATCCATTAGTACGTCTATGATGAAATTGAATAGGAATGGGGATAATGGGCATCCTTGACGGACGCCACTAGTCGTCACCACTTCAGATGACAACTCGCCATAAGCCCTCACCTGGCTGCATGAGTACGAGTAGAGTGCCTTAATCAGTGCAATGTATTTTCTTGGCATTCCCTTTACAGCCAAGCATCGCCAGAGAACCTCCCGGTCGACAGAATCGAAAGCCGCCTTTAGGTCAAGAAATATAATGATTGTCGGACGCCGGTAGGAATGCCTATGTTCTAGAATCTGTCGAAGGGTGAAGATGTGATCAATACACCCTCTACCTGGCCTAAAACCTGCCTGGTTTTCTCGTGTTTGTGTCTCCCGAGCACCACTTAGTCTACGCAGTATTATTGAGCCTAGGATTTTAGAGACTATATTAGTCAAGCTAGTCCCCCTGTGATTATCACAAGAAAACTTGTCTCCCTTCTTGTATATCGGGATGATCAGTGACTTACACCAACCCGATGGGACTTCCTCTGATTCCCAGACGCTGCCTAGAACCTCCGTTAACGCAGACAGTAAACTGTCTCCTCCGTACTTAAATACTTCTGGAGTCAATAAATCAGGTCCCGCTGCTTTGCCTAGCTTCAGATTGGTGACAGCTTTAGTAACCTCAGTTAAGGACGGAGGACCTGTGTCTACATCCCATTCAGGGAGGTGTTGGATGTCCGGCAGGTTAAGTGTGGCTGTGGGCCAATTAAACTGCTCTTCATAGTGTTCTTTCCAGCGCTCCAGACGTCTATCCTGGGAGCTAATTATGGTACCATTTTTCTCGGAGATTGTTTCGCTTATCATTTGTTTTTTACCACCTGTTTCCCTGATAAGCCTGAATAGTTGTCTGGTGTTGCCTATCGCCGATGCTTTTTCCATCTCTTTCGCCTTTGTCAACCACCACTGTTCACGGTCCTTGCGGAGACTTTTCGTAAGTTTCTTTTTGTGCAGCTTTCGCTCCTCATTGAATTCGGAGCTCGCCGGTATAAGTCTTCTAGCATCTATCAGTTCGGATGAGGCAGTCGAAATCCAATGGTTTTTACTCACCTTTGGATTTACCTTATTCACAGCTTTTACAGCTGTATCTATGGCTGACTGAATATTTTTCCAGGCTTCTTCAGGGTGAGCGCAGCTGTCGAAATCAGATATGTGTTTAGCTAGTTCTTCCTCAAATAGGGACTTAGTTCCCTGGTCGAGCTGGGGACGTGATGGTTTTACCGCCAGCTGTTTCCTACGTCCGTTCAGTCGTAAGCACATACGAGCGCGGACCAGTGCATGATCGGTATCTACACACGTGTTCCAGAAGGAGCGACAATCTCCTACCGACCCACGCCAACGATAGCTTATTGCTATGTGGTCTATTTGTGTCCAGCGTTGATTTGATGATGTTACAGGCCACATAAGGGGGATCATCCTTATCAGCTTTGCGCAAGTCATGACGTATTTTTAGCCAGTACTAACCTCCCCTGTGGTCATCACCTAAGTGCTACCTGCCATTCAAGCCTAGACTCACAGATCATATTACTACCAGCCACCGATGACATGTGCGCCTACAGGACTGCGGCATTTGTCTGGATTCCAATCGGGCTTTAGTATGTGCCAGTGAATGTCAACACTACAATCACATGAACATTAAATTGTGCTCGGAGCGTCATCAGTAGATAAATAATATTGTCACGAGGTCATCCGATCTCACTATTTCTCACCAACTTCGCCATTTATTTCATTCTGGAAACAGCTCTGAAGGATGTACGTGGTGCTGGGCTAGATTTGTTACCTAGAAAAAAACTACCTTGGGAATGCAGACGATATCGTCTCACTGCAATAACATAAAGGTTATCTAGGTCGTGCTTAATTACTTGACGACCACTGTTTGTAAGTATAGTAT